TAAGTACAACTAATTAAACTAATTAAAGTCCAGATAATTTAAATTTCATGTAATTATATATTTTAATACATAATATATTATTTAATTATGCAATTATAATATATTATAATTTCATAAAATATTTGAATATTAAAACAGTTAAGTAATATAAAATATTTTTGCATGTTGTATGGTAAATAGTTAATTAATATAAAAAAAATAGTTTGTGCTGAAATTTTACTTCACAATGTTTCTGTTAAAATGCATTTAATTTCTTAAGAAAACAGAACAATATGTTCAGAACAATAGTAATTTAATATACATTTTTACACAGTATATTATAATGTTGTGATAAATCCACATTAATTTTTAATTGATAAAATATAATCATTTAGTTTAGATCAAATGCTTCAGCTATAATTTTAACATCAGTACATCCCTTCAATCCTTCAAGGTCAATGTTGTGTGTTATTTTTGATCATGCAAAATGGTACTAATTGTTTGTTTTTTCTTCTTTTCTTTTCTCAGAATCCCGTAGGCCAGTATGTCTGCCACCTCATGATCTTGGCCTCAAAGATGGAGACAGCTTAGTTGTGACCGGCTGGGGCCATCTGACAGAAAAAGGTTCCTGGCTTTTTCCCTCTCTAGCAGAATCCTTATTGTTCAAATTCAGTATCCATCAAATAACTCTAATACCTCAAACTTTAACATTATCTGGGTGTCTTCCTGCAGGAAATCTGTCTCCAAAGTTACAGAAGGCTCAGATCCCTCTGATAGACAGAGCCCAGTGCTCGAGTCACGCAGTGTACGGCTCTTCTGTCACTCCCAGGATGATCTGTGCAGGTTATCTGACAGGAAGAGTGGACGCGTGCCAGGTAAGTCTTATGGTTTTCTGTGTGCCATTAGTTAAAACGAGTGTGATTTTATTAGAATAACCGTTTGTATTGTTTCTCTCTGTAAGGGTGATAGCGGCGGTCCTTTGGTGTATTCATTTGGCCGCTGGATGTTGGTGGGTGTTGTGAGCTGGGGTGTGGGTTGTGCCAGAGAAAATCGTCCTGGTGTTTACACCAACATGGACCAGATGCTCGACTGGGTCCATTCGGTCATGCAGGTATGAGCACATTGTTCTGGAAAAACTGTAGCTGCATCCAAAATCGCATATTGTCTTCTATTTTTGTTTATATTTGGTTCTGTATTTACAACAGCTAAAAAAGTATGTTCTATATAGTTTGAACATGTATAGAAGCTTGTTTCTGCCACAGAATAAATAAATAAATAAGGTAATTATGACTTTTTATCAATATCATCATTTTGAGAAAATAAAAGTCTTAATTGCAAGATATAAACTCAAAATTGAGAGATATTGGGATATAACGAAATCTCACTTTTTTCTTGCAATTCTGAGCAATTCTACATCTCGTAATTTTTTTTTTTACATGTTGTTGTTTACATCTGATAATTCTGACCGCTTTTTTTTTTTCTCAGAATCACAAGAAACAAGTATAGATATTAACTTAGAATAGCACCACAACAACAAAAAAAGTCATTATTGTGAGATAAAACAAAAAAATCACAATTACCTTTTTTAGTTTTTTCATTCTGTGGCGGAACAGAATTGTGAGAAATAAACATAATTCTGGGTTTATATTTCACAATTCTAAGTTTATATCTCGCAATTGTGACTTTTGTCCTCAGAATTGCGAGTTTATATCTCGCAATATTGAGTTATTGAGTTTATATTTTGCAATTCAGACATTTTTCTCCGAATTGACAGTAAAAAGTCAGAATTGTGAGATAAAACTTTGCAATTATCCTTTGTTTTTTTAATTATGTGGTGGAAACTGGCTTCCATAACTATGGGTAGTATGAATCAAATTTGAATATACTACACCTCACATGTTGTTGCTACTATTCACGAATTGTCTTCCTTACTGTTTTTCGAATTCTAGGAATTCTATGAATTTGGACATATTGCTCTTTTTTCATGTAATGTTTAGTATGGAAGTAGATATATTTGAACACAGCATGTGTCTGTGTACACCTACTAAACATAGAAGAGTGGAATACTCATGGTTGTGTGTTGTCTTCAGGAGTACCAGTGAGTCTGGGATGGAGAGAAAAACCGCAAACCCACAGCACAGATTCACAAAGATCTTCAGTCCTCACAAAGAAGATATCCTATTGAAGCTATAATGATTTACATGGATTTGTGGAGGAATCGCTGTGGGCGTTTTGCTCAGGGTCTTAAAGGTGCCATGATACAGATTTTGCACACTGAAATATATCATGTATGTATATAACACCTATGCTATCTTTTGTGGATCTACCACTTTTTTGGGGGACACAGCAATGCAAACTTAAAGGAACAGTTCACCAAAAAGTCTGTCATTATTTACTCATCCTCATTGCTCCAAGGCAGTACGACTTTCTTTTCTCTGTGGAAAATAAAAGAAGATGTTTAGAAGCATGTTCATGCTGCTCTCCTCCAAAGAACAAAAGTGGACTGGGAACAGAACTCTTAGAAATAAAGGTTCCAAATGGGGGTTTTCACAGTTATGCCATAGAATAATAATTTTTGGTTACCTAAAGAACCTTTCAGTGAACATTTATTTTTATTCGTATGAAGAACATTTTAATAATCTAAAGAGCATTTTTCCACTAAAGAACCTTTTTCTGTAATGTAAAGATTCCATGGGTGTTAAAGGTTTCGTCATGGAACCATAGATGCCAATTGAGAACCTTTATTTTTAAGAGTTGCAGGGTCAATCAAGTTCCAAAACAGACAAAAGTATAACTCAAAAGTTATGAAGTCATATGATAGCTTTGCGTCTGGAACGCATTACAATTTAAAGTTGATATCTTGCCGTTTGCTTTTAATATATGGAGAAGAGCAGCTTGGACATTCTGCTACATTTCTTCCGTTGTGTTCTACTGAAGAAGGAACATCATAAAGTCGTGTGGATGAATAAACAACAGCCACAAGAGGGTGCTGCTGCTTTTTCTCTTTTTAATATGTCTGTACTTGTTCCGTTGTGAGGTCTGATGACGTTTTTTTTATCGGGTGCCATGTTATAATCTTGAATTAAAGCCAGTGCTCATTTACTCTGCCAAAATACCATGGTGCCTTTAAAATGCTTAACAAATCTTACATTAATATTAAACATGGAATTCCAAGTTATGGCATCAGTTATAGAGGCCAAATCTTTTTCTACAGACTGGGATTAAGTGCTCAAAAGAAGAATGACACCCGTATTTAACAGCCGTGTGTATGTGAACGTCACATATTTCCCTTTGTGGGTTAGTATTCAATTCTAAATGAGTCACATTCAGACTCATGTGGCTTTTGCTATTTGTACAGAAAACATATTTAAACACACAAAGCTAAAATACATAATTCAACCTGTTTTTTTTTCAATGAATGTCTTTCAACTTGTTTAACTTATGAATGTTGGTTTTTAACGTAGGGAGGATTCGTGTAATTAGGGCTTTGTTGACAGGCAACTCGGTGTCAAAAAAAGTCACCCATTTTTATCTGAATTCACCCTACTTCTGAAAGTAAAGCATATTTATTTGTAAATGTAAATATTGTACAGATTTGTGTTTGTCATGTCAAATTCATTATAATAAAGTGAAGAGTGGTAAACAACAAGTTTTTGTCAACGACTCCACCACCAGCAAACAAACAAACACAACCAGTAATATTTTTTTGCAAACCTTTATTTCGCATAGTTATATATTCATTAGTTTATTAGTTTATTCTTTACAATCCAGAGCAATCTACTGAGGTGCATAGTTATGATAAGGGAATATGGCAGATGTTGGTACAAAGGGAAGTTTCAAGACAAAAGCTGTACATACATGTTCTTTTTTTTCTGAGTAGGCTGCATGAAGTGCATCTGTAAGCGTTTAAAGTGCTCAGTCAGAGCCAGTAATCACGAAAGTAGTATTCAAATGCTATCAATTCAGACCTTTTTGCCTATTATTTAGCTGGTTCCTTTATGAACGTACAGAACCTCTTCTCAAATGAAAGGACTGTTCTTCTGGGTGCACTGATGGGTGGTAGCTACAGCAGGGCTTGTGTTTAAGTAGCTTTGATAGTTGTATATTTAGGCTGTTGTCTTGGTTTACGTATAGGAATAAAATATCTTAAATTTGTCTAGACTATGTGGTGCACAAAGAATGCTTGTGCACACCTGTAAAATATAAACTTTAAAACTCTACATATGTCCTTATACAATGGCTAGGTTTGGATTAGCATGCTAGCATACCACTAGTACTATTTTTGCAGTATGCAATATGTGACTACTACATTACCTGTACCTACTACATTTGACATTTGCTCACATGTTCGATATACAGCATGTGCAGTTATTGTTAAAAATGAGCAATCATTTTGTTTTATTACTATTAAAAATGTAAAAATGAGTAATGTTGCTTTAACATCTAACTGAACTAAATTAAAGATGAAGTACTAAAATTACTCAAATTGAACAAATCAAATATAAGTGAAAAATAATGAATGAAAGCTAAATGCAATTATTTAAAACAACAACTACTACTGCAAACAATAAAAATGACAAAAACAGATTACAAAAACTTCATTTAAAATTAAAACGACAGGGTTGCCAGGTCTGCGAAACAAAACCAGCTCAATTGCTAATCAAAACTAGCCCAAATGTCTTTTTTGCCATGCTTTTCCCCTCCGCTGAGGGTTGTTTTGAGATCGCTTTAACCCGCAAACTGAAAAACAATCCCCGGCAACATTAGCTCAATGCCACTGTACAACCGAAAACTGAAAATATAAAATAAAAGCTCATTTAAAATTGTAATAAATATGATAATAGTACATACATAATACTAAAATACCACTGTATAGAGCAGAGCACATGACGTAGAATACCCCACAATGCAATGCTCCCAACATAAATTTCCATTTACAGTGGGATTGATTTTCCTAGAATTATTTCTGCTAGCTTTTACACAATTAAAAATGAAAAATATATCTGTTTTATATCTGGTTTTTGGATTTGGATTTCCAATTATTAAATGTAAGACTTAATTCATGTGACAAAAGTGAAGCATATTGCATACTGTTCAGCATACTATTTTTAAAACGCAGATAATATTCAATGTATACTGCGCAGTGTGCAGTAAGCAGTGTACTAATTTGCCTTTCCAAACATAGCCAGTGCTACTGGAAATCTTGAGTGTTTAAAAATGTTGGAAGTCTTAAATCCACTAGAGGGAGACAGAGCGTCTTGGAATGTGTTGGAGCACATTGAAGTCTTCACACTCTGTTGGCTTGGCAGTGAGAGTGAGTCACCCAGGCAGTGAAATCCAGTTTTTTTTATATCCATTATTTTGTAAGTGTACTTTACAAAAAGTCAATCTGTTCCTGAATGGGATCAGATCGGAGTGAGACAAACTCTCAATTGAATATAGTACAATAATTTTAAAAGAGTGCAAGTGGTTTGGGACATCCCATGTAAGTACAGTAGAACAAATTCTCACTGCAAAATAGAAAAGCATATTTTATATTCTCATATTTCCTCTCTACCAAGATCAAGCAGCCTGTCTGAAAATGCAGCTGTAGATATTTACCTTAAATTAGTGGCTGTAACATGTGACATGCATTAAAGTAGGTTGAATTTATACAGCCTCCGGTGTAAAGAACTTAATAGTACGTACAATGCTGGCCAATTTGATTGATTTTGTTTTTTTAATGATAGAAATCAGACATATCCCTTCAGTTTCCCTGCTATAACCCTTCAGATCCAGAGAGAAACACAGCCTGACGTGTGCAGATGCATGGCTCAGTGCTGCACTCTTAGGATGCGGTTTGCACTGCAACACTGCAGCAATGCAGTCTGGTTTCAGCGCAGCGGCTCGCCTTCCCAGACATTACTAACAAGCCCAGTTGGTTGATCTGCGCCAAGCATTCCAGCAGACATAAGCAACCAGACCAAGATATCTATGTGTCTATAGAGGTACGCATTACACCAGTGGATCTCAACTGGCTGCCAGCCAAGAATGGATTGCAGGTCAGTTTGTACAGCACAGATGGAATGAAAAATACTTTTAAATGCATTATTCTATCAAAATAGGCATATAATCATGCAAACAATTCTGTGGCATTTCGGCAAATCTTTACCTGCCACTTGGTAGAAGCTAGTTCAAATAGAGAGACTCCATCATGGACAGGTTATGTGACCTTCAAAACCATGAACAAAACTACATTGAATACTATATTTGGAGTTTCCAGTTGAAGAAATTTCAATGCTTGATTCTGAAGACATTATGGATTACTTTTGTATGATAAGCTTTATTTCTTAAGCCACTTGATGTCCAGTGCAAAGCAAAACCAGTTGAGAACCACCACTACTACTTCATTATCATTAAACATCTGATTCAAATAAATGCCAAATGTTTAGGGGAAAAAAATACAAAGTTGCAAAAATTAAGCAGAACAGGAATTGGATTAAAACGTCAGCTAAAAATAGCTAAATAATAATAAAAAAATAAGCTCTAATAAAAGTTCAAGTTGCCCATTTGCATACAACAGTCCATTCTCGAGAGCCTAGGCACTCATGTATTGACATTATTTTTTTTTTTACATTTTCCTGCTTTTTTTTTACAGTATTGCTGATCTACGTAATCTCCTTGTTTATGTGATAGTTTAATCATAAATACACTAGCAGCAAATGATGAAAGGCAACAAGCTGTAAGAAGCATAACATGTTAAAACATTCTGCCATAAATGAATCAAAGAGGCCATGTGAACAGCTCGAAAACAGTTAGGACACTCAAGACTAACCACATACTGTACAGTGCATCTGACAGACAGAGCAGCACCAAACCCTTTCTCCAAAGCACGGCTGATTTTAAAGGAATTAAATACTTCATCAATAAACACTTGCATTTCAAGCTAGGATTTCATACCACTTTGTCAAAAGCATCCCAAACAGTTGAGATTGCCAAAGCCCCTGATTTCTAAAAGAGAGTCAAGTGATTTGGAAGACTGCTAATATGTGCACATATAAGAGATCTAGTCATTCAAAGAGACAGATTATTCCTGTTCCTCTATTCTTAATATCACCACTGCAGCTATCCAACTACATATTCAAATATCCTGCGATAAATTCTACATCGTTCGTACTTTTCTCTACATATACAATGTGCATTCAAAACACTGTTACGTATATATTTATGAATAAAGTGCCCAGAAATGACCCCTCTGAACTCTGCCATAACTACAACCACTGGTACATTCATCTTTGGGTTATGGCGGAAGACTATAGTGAGGGTTTCATTGCATTTAATTTTTTTTTCTCGGCGTAATCGCAAAGTGACATTCATCGCATGTTATGAATTTGTCGGTACATTTATACTTAAACCAGATATGGATATGAACGAGCATTGTGCATTTATAGGGTTAAGGATAGAGGAAGACGGATGAAACATGATGGCAGCAAAAGTAAATCATCCACCGTTCCACTAGCAGTTCTGTTTGGCACTTGAGTCTTAAATAACTACTAAATAAATGGACAATTTGCTTGTTTTGATAAACAGAGTTTGTTTTAGAGTTCCAGAATGTCTAACAAGCAAAATCCCACAAGTATTTTCTGCCATTTGTGTTTTCTTGAATTAGCATCGAGATCTATGAGAAGTTTTGAGAAGTTTATGCTAATGCTAGTTACATGTGAACTGTAATTAGCCATTGAGAAGCATGTGAAGTATCACGATTCATTATATTTTGTCACAGAAGGCTTGTGTCTTTGTACGATGATATGAAAACAGAAGTATTAGCATAGCATCTGTGAGGATTGGTGCAGTTTAGCGCACATAAATTGCTGGCTTGCTAGTTTGGATGTCAAAATTCAAAATTAGCAGTTAGCAACAATGGCCATATTGTGTCCTGTGACGTGTAGATGTCATGATAAGCTTTACCAGTTAACTACAGTGGCCCTTCATGCCTGTATGTCGGATACGTACACGATGAACTAGTGAGGGTAACATTGTTTACGACAAGCACAGACTGATCAGTCATGTGAGAAGAGACAGGAGAATACGATTCTGAGAAATGGATACATAGTACACTAGATGTACTGTATAAAATCGTTCACATGCATTAGGAAAAGTTATTGGTTATTTTGTTGAAAGCAGCATCAAAAGATCATTCATTTTCTACAGGGAGTTGGTTTCTGGGGATTGTCTTTATATTTGAATATGTTTATTTCCTATAGATTTTTTTTTTTGTCTTTTTTTTTTTTGCTTTTTTATG